AAATTAAACTTATAATAAGATTTATATTTACAAGTTTATATTATTTGATTACTAATTCTTAAATCTATTTTTTTTTAATATATTTATAAAGCAGTTAGATAAGTGCATAATAGAACTATTTTTCTTACTAATTATAGATGAACTGAAAAAATTTGCTTGTAAATTGTACTTTAATGATGATAAATTAATTTTTGTGAAATGTAGAAACTCTAATATTTGCAAAATATATAGCTGTGAAATTTCTTCTAATCTTTTGCAATTAGTAATTTTACTCAACTGCAGGCACTTCTTTTACTGAAAGTATATTATGAAATATAATTATTATTCTTACAAATATAAAAACTATAAAACACCAAATCAATATATTGAAATGTCAACTCTACATTGTCTTGAAAAAATATTAAACATATTATCTTTTCAAGTACAAGCTGATGAACTACAAGTACAAGCTAATGAATAACAAGTACAAGCTAATAAACTACGAGTACAAGCTGATGAACTACAAGCACAAGCTAATAAACAAATGCAATTGAATGAATTACAAGTACAAGATAATAATGACCAAGTGTAAATTAATGAACAAGAACAAATTAATGAACAAGCACAAGTCAATGAACTACAAGTGCAAGTATGTAGACAAGTATAAGGCAGACAGGCACAAAGCAGACAAACACAAAATAGGCAAGCACAAAGTAGATAAGCACAAAGTAGGTAAGCACAAAGTAGGCAAGCACAAGGTAGGCAAGCATAAGGTTGGCAAACACAATGTGGACAAGCACAAAGTGGGCAAGCACAAGGTTAGCAAGCACAAAAAGAGTAAGCACAAAGTAGGCAAGTGTATAATAAGTAAGCATAAAATGGGTAAGTGAATGGTAAGCAAGCACAAGTTAGACAAGCACATAGTAAGCAAGCACAAGGTAAGCATGCACATAGTGAACAAGCACAAGTCAATGACCAAACTAATAAACAGATTAGCATTATTAAAATTCATTATACAGTGTTATATAATATTTATATTATGAAATATATATTGAAAATTAATTTTGATTTAGGAAAATGAGTCTGCAAATAATATGTTAAAACCTTCATTGATATTATCAAAAAGGCCATGTAAATCAAAAGTACCAAAAAAAATAACAAAAGTTGTTAAGGTTCTAGTTACTCCTAATAGGGCAAAAGATAGCTTAGTTAAAGTCTACAAACTAACAGATCAAATTTTAATTAACTTATTTAATATTGCAAAACAAGCTAAAAAGCAATCTAAAAGTCTACTTCAATAGAAATTAGAAAATGATATGATTATATGGAAGCTTTTAAGAATCAAGTAAGAGAATTAATAAGTGAGAACATAAAGAATAGAGCAGCTTATACACAAATATACAACACAATATTACCTTATATGAGATGTCAAATAACAATAGGAAATCTTTATTAGATAATATATAAGGCATGAAATATATTTAATATATTTAGTAAAGTGGCATTGAAGTAATTGACCAAGCCAGATGTTTTATGACAAATCATCTTTCAGAATACAGCAATAATAATATTAAAAGAATTGTTGAATATATAAAGCATAAAAGGGTTAGTTAAATTATATAATTAAAATTAATATATATTTTATATAATTGCAATTAAATAAATTGAATTAAATAGTGTGAGTCTCATAGCTTAATGGTTAAGTTCTCATATACCCACAGTCAAAGTCAATAGTTCAAGTCTAGCTGAAAGCAAAATCAAAAAATTTTATCTTCTGTAACCTATAAAGAGCCTGTAATTGAACATAAAGCTATGTAGTTAAGTCCAAGTGCAGTACATGACAGAAAAAGGAATTTCTGAAAGAAAACTAATTTTGCAAAGTGTGGACACTATGTATGACAGTAGCATTACAGAAAGTTCTATTACACAAAGAGTTGTGTATGCAAGTTCTCTGAAGATAGAACAGTACTAACATCTTCATATCCAACTTGTAAAGTACTTGATTGGCAGGGTAATACCAAGGTAATATAAACTAGAGTAGTAAGAAAAGCAGTACATGTATAAAAGATTTGTAATAAAGAATTAGCCTTATCAAAATTAGAAGCACCTTTGGCACTGTGAAATAACTAAAAATAGAAGGTAACCATCTATATAGAAAAGTTGTAGCCTGTTCTGTACATCTAAAGGTTTCAAACCAAAGCTCTGATCACATTTATATGGAAGTCTATAACAAAACAAATAGAACATACCAATATAAATGCTATACTGATCATAGTTGAGATACCTAAATTAAAAGTAGAAACCTACTTGAACACAATGTGGACACTTTAGTCTAAATGTAAATTCAGGCTAAGATGTTCTTAAAAAGGCAAAAGAATTGTTTATACTTGAAAACAGAACAAAAAAAAACCTGCAACATAGTGCAACAGTAGTAGAAACATCAGTCAATGGCTGAAAAAGGATATGTACTTATTCTTGAAATAGAGTTCTATCTATATTATAAAAGGGAGTACTCAAAAGACAAGTTAAATACACAATTCATTAAAAATAATGCTAAGACTAAGAAGAGTTACAAACCAACAGTAGCAGCAAAAATTTGGCTTAAGATATATACTACCAGTACCTGAATTGGGAAGTTAGCAGCAGTAGCAAAAATCTGATTTAAGATATATACTAAAGAGGCACCCTTTGGGCAAACCAAAGATGATAGCTTAAAAGAAGCAAATGACCCAGTAGACCAATTTAGAAGTTGTTAAAAATAGGTTATAAGACATAAAAAGAATATGTAGATTATCTAATATAATTAGTAGTAAAGCAAAAATCTAGATTAGATGTAAGTGGGATATAATACAAAACTCTGATAGATTTAGGTTACAGATAAATATATTTGAGTTTTATATCTGAATAGATATATAGTAATAGATAATGTATAATAGATTTGTACTAGCTATAACAAATATACTAATAAGGCATGACCTTACCTTAATATCAAAAAAAAAAAAATTTGAATTGAATTGACATAACAAATAATTAGTAATAGATTAAAATAATAGATAATAAGTAATAATAATATCCTGGCTTATCAAAAATTAGTAGATTTTTTTTTTTTAAATATTAAAGTAGGTACTAGTGACTCAGAATTTTATTGATAGTATATTTGGCTAATAGTTGTATTACAACTACAAGGAGCAATCATAAAAAGAGTATACAACTAGCTACTTATACAACTTTAGTCATTGTCTAATTTAAGTAGTCTACTTAAAGGTTCTACACTAGCTGCTATACCTGGAACCTACTTGTAGATTCTCTATTTAATTACTTTAGTTTTTGTATTTACCTACCTACTTCTTCTACTAATGATCCTGACTGATGCTAGTAAAAATATGCTATGATCACTAAGTCTTTAAAGCAGTTTTTTAGAACCTTTAATCTTGTACTAAACCTTTCAGAATCTTCTGTATCCTATTCTTATAGCTAACTCGATATTGCTATAGTCAAGACTAATACTGGCAGTCAGAGTGTATCATTAAACTGCTATGCCCTTGTAGAATTCACCCAACCCAGTACTAACTTCACAACATATTCTTACTGCTTTGGTATTCAATTCAAATTCCATCAAGCTGCTATTTCAAATAACCCAGAAAGATAAATTGAAACTATACACCACTGATTTATATGTTTGCCAATATGTATTTTTTTTCTTCAAAATCTGGAAATTCTAATGATCTAGTTGGTTTATCTGGTTTCTCCTCAAAGACTAACACATTTGCCTGATTTTATAAGTTCTAACTCTATTTTATAAGTTTAGTCTTTACAGTAGCACTGTTAAAAGTTCAGGTTACTTCTTTATTTAGAACTTTCAAATAGGCTTCTATCTTTCTTCATTAGTAGGTTTTTTCCTAGATTGTGTTATAGCTATTATCATAAATTCTAGAATATCTGCTTATTATCTAAAATTTTTTTGGTTGCTAGATAAATTACTTAACTCTTCAGTTCAGATGTAGTAATTTCAGAGTTAGATAAATTACTAAACAATTAAAAAGATTTTGGGTAATAAGCAGATGTTTCAAAATTTATAATAATAGATATAATAATAATTTATATTGTTATTAATTATCTGTATAAGCAGCTATTAAATATCAGTATGAATTATTGTTAACACAATCTAGAAAAAAACCAGATTATTATTAATTGTTATAGATAATCATAGTCAATCTAAATTTATTAACTCAACTTAGCAAATATTTAAAATTTTGCTTAGCTGGCTAAGTTGGAGTTAATAATCCTAATTGGTTAATTAAAAACACATAATTGTAAAGCTGTTTTTATCTGATAAAAAAATTAGCAAATAATTGTCAATTGTTAATTGTCAATAAGTTTTTTATTTTAGTATTATCAGATTACTATAATGTTAAAAATACTGTGATTTGACCTAAACTTAATTAGTTACTATAATTTTTAATATAACCTATTATAAAATTAACTTAACTAAGTTAATTTTTTGAAAACTCAACTTAGCAGGCTAAGGTTAATTTTTTTAAAAAAATTAGCTGACTAAGTCAGCTAAGCCAATTTTATCAACTAATGCAAAATTGATTACAAATACTAAAGATCATTACAGTAAGTAACTTAACAATTGATATATAAGGGGAATTAGAGTATTATAATGAAGCTAAGCTGGTTATATATAAAACTTTTTACTGACCAATCTTAAAACTTTAAATTTTAAACTACATAAAATATAATATATTAAGAATTAAATCTAATAGAAATAAGAAGGCATGATTAACAGTATTAGTACAAGATCATTACTTCCATACATAGTACCAAAAATTGGAAATTCGAAATTACGAGGTATTGTGACAAATTCTAATTTACATCCTTTTTTCACACTTTCTTTTTTTTTGTACTGTGTTAAGTTCTTGTGTAGCTTTTTTTTGAGCAACTGCTTCTCTTTTTTGGATGGCTATTTCTTTTTTTTGAGCAGCTGCCTTTTTTTTTTGAGCGACTACCTTTTTTCTTCATTTAGATTTTGCACTCTTTTGCTCGGCTTCTTTATTCACTTCTTTTAGTTCTTGCAAACTTTTTTCGTTTGTAAGAAGCTGGGCAAATGGGAGTGTCTTTCTTTTTTTCTTGTAGGAGGATAAATCAGATTGATTTTCAGAAGTAACTTGGAAACTACTAGCTTGCGAATTATGAAAAGTAGAGTATTTAAAGATTGAACATAAAAAACAAATTCCTGGATTCTTATAAGTATCTAGTTCTTCGCTTATTAATGCTATTTGGGTCTTAAGTGATTCATTTTCATCCTTAAGCAATGCATTTTTTTCTACTAATTTAGTTACGTTTAACCATGTAGGATGAAAATGAATTGACAGATGAGAACAAATTGGCTGAGACGCTAAACTTGGATTTGGGTTAATAAAACATTCAGTTGATAATGAAGGGGCTAAAAGGTTAGGGTCATTAGCATTTGAATTAAGTGGCCATATTCCTGTCTTTCTATAAGCATTACAAATAGCTAGTGGTGTATAAGTTTCAAAAAAGACAGGGCCAAGGACTTTCACAAAGATATGTTTCATTACTATCATGCCATCATTGTTTTTAGTATACTTATTAGACATTTTGCTATATTTTTCTTTTAACTTCACAAAGAGAAGTTCTGATGGTTGCAAAACATAGGTTGTATAAGGTGGAAGCGCATAAAGCATAATTCTATTTCGATGACAAAAGTCAGTACTTGTGTAATTAATATGACTTTTGTGACCATCTAACATTAATAAAACTAGACGAATTGGTGAAATTAAACTAATGAAATGTTCAAGATACATTTGAAAAAGGTCTTCATGCATATATTCGGTTTTGGTAAAACCTATTACTGTTCCAGAAGGTGCACCTTCTAAAAGGCCAAGAATTGCGTGAACACCTTTATAAATGATCAAAGGTGGAATGTATGCTCTCACTGCTGATATCGTTAGTACTAGGAAAATATGTTCATGAGAATTCCTATGCAAAACCTTGTGAACTTGGCATGCATCTTTACGAGCTATGACTTTCCTGGATTTGGGAACAAGGATGAAACCAGTTTCATCCATGTTCCAAATCTGCACAGCAGTAAGGGAATTCTCATGAACAATTTTTTGAAGTTTTTCAAAGTGATCATTAATTATTGTTGCATTTGCCTGTTGGGCATGTGCCTCTGTTAATTCTTGGGGAGTACAAATTGATAGTTCAGTATGGTCTCTCATGAAGTGTTTTCACCAGTCATAGCTAAGCCCTTTGTCTCCAAATGGGTGTTTTCACTTGTTTAGTTGCATAATCTCTAATATGCAATGATTGATCCTTTCTTTGTCAGACCAAATCCAAGTTTTTGTATATTAATGCAGTAGCCGGCAAGCTGATCCTCTTCTTGTTTTGTAAAAATAGTTGATGGTCTGGGACAACCAAGAGGGCCATCATTTTTTGCGACTCGTCGAAGCATAGCTTCAGCAAGCCCAAATTCGTTTGCTACACTATTTAGGCTTGGTTGTTTCGAACCAACAGGATAATTATTTAACTTATCAAGAGCTATACTAATAGTATTTTGTCTGTTAATATATGAAACTTGAGGCATTTTTATGTAACAACTAATAAATGTAAATTTATTAATAAGAACAAAGATAAAATGACAAATAATAAAGTGACGACATGAAATGTGATAAAACATAGTAAAACAAATTAAACATGATCAAAATTAAATAACATGCCAAATTTTTTTATTTTATATGCTGTTTGTGTTGCATGAAAATTTTTTGATATTATTTTGATTTTTTATGTATGCAGGTTCATCATATTTGATGCATTCGTTCCCAATTCTCAGATCAGTCCAAGTTTAGTTGAATTGATATAAATTACTCTAAAAATAAATAAAATAGATTAATTACTTTTATTTTTGTATTATAGTTCGTAGTTACTCATGATAATGATTAGTTTTTTTCAGTTCGTTGCTTGCATATTTATTAATTTATCACAATTCTAAATTCGTCATAATACCCTGATTCTCCTTATATACAGTTCAAAAATATATTATAAATAAATAGTACAAATTATATCTTATATAAAAATAGATCATTACTCAATTGATTCTGGAAATTTCTAAAGTATAATTGCTAACCAATCAAATTGAAGATTGGCTATTAAGCAAAAAAATTTTTTTTTACTTTATTTTTTAAATTATTTTTATTTTTTTTTATTAATTTTAATCTAATAATTATAATACTATATTGCTGTATTAAAAATCTAACTATATACAATTTATTTACTTCATTTTTTTAAATACATTTTATTTTTTATTTATTAATTATACTATGTTATGAATATATCAAACTCATGCTATGTCCTAAATCAACCAACTTTTATTTTAAATTTGTCTATTATTTATATATTTATTCTGAATCTATCTAACTATTATACTATACTTGTTCCAATTATTGTGCTAAGTTTGTTTACTAACATGCTATATTAGTTTCTATATTTGTTTTAATTATTATACTACATTTGTTCTAAATCTATCTAACTATCTTGCTATATCTATCTATCTTAACTATAATATTAATATTTGTTCTTACTATTATATTACACTTCATCTTAATTATTATTAAGTTCAAACTATTGTGTTATATTTGTTTTACCTATTGCACTATGTTTATTCAACTATTATACTTATTTTAACTATTATATTTATTTTAACTATGCTATATTCATTTCTATTATATTATGTTCATCTAATTATTGTGCTATGATTTTTTTTACTATTATATTACATTTATTATTATTATTATATATGCTACATTTGTTCTTACTACATTTATATGCTATATATTCATTCTATTTGTATTAGTATACTACAAAAATATGTAGTTTTCTTTTTTTTATTACTTGAAAATATATAGAAATAAATATAAATTTATATTCTTATTTATCTTTTTGTAGATGACTTACTTTGCAGAATTATTTGGGATTGTTGAGGTTTGTTATCTTTATTATATATTTATATATCATTTAGTAATAAATAAATATATAAAATAGGATGTGGTAACCTAGTGAAGTGGTCAGGTTGTTAACCTCCAAGTGGTAGATTGGGTGTTTAAATCCCATCGATGGCAAAAATTTAAATAATCACTTATATAATATTCATATTATAGCAACTGTTACTAATGATTAGATTAGGATACCTATAATGATAGTCATACTAGCATGACTGGCAAGTCATAGGGCATTTGTGCAATGTTGGAGTTATACAGAAGAATTCAAACCAACAAATCAGGCAGTGCAAACACTAGATAAGTTTTTGTGGCTATATAAATCTGTTGAAATTGAATAACAAGAAGTTTATTTGAAAAGACTTGAATAGGGAGATAGCTGAATGTTTGATGGCTCTACTGTAAAGGCTAATCTGAAAAAATGAATACCAAGGTCTAGTACCTGGTCATAGTAGCCAAATAAGCAAGAACCTCTAGATTGGAAGTCTTAGAGATACTACTAACCAGACTGCTAGAATAAACTAGAGAAAAAGGATATTAGACTAATATGATATACTGATAAACTAATTGTAATTCTATATTGGCTATTTCAATTGGAAGTTTAATAAAAAGGCAGAAGAAAAAGCAAGAGTATACTAAACTACTAAAGTTATTCTGTAAAATAGATGCTAAGGTCTAAGTAAACTCTACAAGGACATAGTGGTTTAATGGTTAACCCTGATCACAAATGTTGGTTCTGCTATAGCGATATCTAGGTTAGCTGTAAAAATAAATACAGAAGGCTCTAGGAAATTTACTTTAAGGATAAATTAGTCCTAAGGTTGAAACAATAATCTGGGCATCTGGGTATAATCCAATAAGTTAACACAAGTTACAGGTTTAGAGAGTTTAAAGTGAAACATCTAAGCAAGAATGTTAAGTATAGCAATTGGTAGAAAACCTTTAGGCAAACTCCTTAAATAGGTAATATAGAAAAGTTACACATATAGCCAATTGTATGCTTTTCTGTAGTAGTTCATTAAACCACAATACCAATAAGTAATTAATAAAAGTCAAAAGACCAAAGAGGTCATCTTAACATCAAAAAAAAATATATATATAATTTAGTAAAACTCTAGCCTAAATACATGCATAAAAAAGAAGAATAATAACTAATCAAATGCATAAACTTGTTTGTAGATTCTTTTAGAACCCAATTTCCAAATTTGATATATTCTCAGACTGTATATATGGATTATATCTAACTTGTTAATTTATCTTTATTAATATATGTATAAATATTAATTAAATAAAATAAATTAGTATTTGTAGTCTATTTTGTATTAGTCAATAAAATCAGCTTAACTGATATAGTCAATTAATTTTTTTTAAAAAAATCAACCTTAGTCTGCTAAGCTGAGTTTTTAAAAAATTAACTTAGTTGACTTTATATTAATTATAATAAAAAAAATATCTAAAATTTTTTAAATTTAATTGACTCTAATATAGTCAGCTAAGCTGATTTTTAAATATTGACTTAGTCAAGTTAATAAATTTAAATTAACTACAAATACTAATAATCTTTTATAGTTCATATATATTTATTAATCATTAAGTAATAATTTTTAAATATATATAAATCATAAAAGATCATTAAGTCACTTAATAGTTTTTTAATGCATTTTAAAAAAAATTGAAAAGATTGTTAAGTAACTTAATAATCTTTTTTAATCTTTTAATAATATATTAAAAGACTATTAAGTGACTTAATGATCTTTTTTAATCTTTTAATGATTTATTAAAAGACTGTTAAGTGACTTAATGATCTTTTTAATCTTTTAATAAATTATTAAAAGACCATTAAGTAACTTAATAATTTTTTTTAATTTTTTAATAAATTATTAAAAGACCATTAAGTAACTTAATGATCTTTTTTAATCTTTTAATGAATCATTAAAAGACTATTAAGTAACTTACTAATTTTTTTCAAACTTTTTAAGATTTATTAAAGACTATTTAGTGATTTAATAATATTTTCAATTTTTTTAAAATTTATTAAGTGACTTACTGATCTTTTAATAATTTATTAAAAGATTAAAAAAGATTATTAAGTTACTTAATAGTCTTATAATAATTCATTAAAAGATTAAAAAAGATCATTAAATAACTTAATGATCTTTTTCAATTTGCTAATAAATTATTAAAAATGAATATATATTGGTATTTGATAAATTTGGTTCTAAAAGAAATAAAGATAATAGAACATATGCAAATTGCAAGCAATATAATACATCTTATACTTGGTGTCAAACATGTATTTTCAGAATAGTGTTTCAAGTTGATGCTAATTAGCTAGTTGCCAACTATAGTTGCAACTAATCAACTTTTATATCATATGACTAAATTTGTTAATTAGCCAATTAAATAAAAAAAATTAGCATAAGTTAGCCTAAACAGACAGAATATCTCATAATTGAACAAATTAATAATTCAGTTGTTTATTTGTTTTTAAAAATTTTCAAATTAACTAGTTGAAAAGTTGTCAACTAGTTGCTTTTTCAACTAATGTTTGAATCACTACTTCAGAAAACAATACAAGAATGGACAAGTGAAAATAAAAATATCAACAATTGCATTAAATAATTTCAACTTAAAGCTATGAAATATGAAGATGTAATCAAATAGATTTCTTTTAATAGTTTAGTTAATGTTTAAAAGAATATTAATAGATTTTTAGTAATGTGGTTAAATAAAATGCATTATGTAAATTATGAAAATATATAGTCACATTTACTATTATATAAAGTAAAAATTAAAATATTAATATGAATATAAAATAATTTAAAAGTAAGTTTATATACTTATAAGACCAGAATATTATATTACATCTTATCATTTGTAAAAAAGACTTATTGCCAAAGTTAGTACCTAATTATAATAATTTATCAAAGTTAGTTCAACTAATAGTTAAGTAATTAATATAATTAATTATATAATATATAGTTAAACTCATTTTGTATAGTTTTGAATCTCTAATCAGAAATATATTAATTTAATATCAATATTAATATAGCATACTATACAATTATTATACATTACCGATTATAGTACTTTAGGTACTATTGAATAAACTATTCAATTTATTAAATTGTACTTGCCCAAGTAATAATTATAAAGAGCACTATAGTATAATTAAGAAGTTTGTTAAGTTAGCAACTAATTATTAAATTACTAATAATTTAAAAAAATTTTGTGATCAAAGTATATTAAATAACAACTAATCATGTAAAAAATTATATAAATTTAACAATATTTTTATTTATTTTGTATATTCAATAATACTCATAATACTCATTTTGTTTTTACCTTATATAATTAATATTTCTTTCTTTTTATAATTATTTATTATACAGTTCTTTATTCTATTATTTTTATTTTGTTATTTATATTTTATTATATAAAAAACAATCAAAAAAAAATAAAAATAAAAGAAATTTGTAAAGTCATATAATCTTAAAAAGAAAAAGACAAAATAAATACTTGCAGTTATTTAATAATTAAAAAAACAAAATAATGGCAATAGATATTACTAGTGCTGCAAATATAGGAAGTT